AAAAAAAAAAAAAAAAAAAAAGAAAAGAAAAGAAATAAACATGGACAGGATGTGATGCTGAATATTGTGAGACGGAGATGGGAACATAGTGTTTGCCCATTAGGAGCAGTCTACAGCAGGGAGGAAAATAAGGCAGAAAGCAGTAAATGCCACCAAAGAACACTAAGCAAAGTGAGAAAGGGAGGCCTCAATTCTTGTTGCTGAGGGGAATTTTGTACATAAAGCAAGGAAAGTTTCTTTGTCTTCTAGGTGACAACCTAGAAACAGCCATTACTGTTGCAAAGAATTCTGAAATGATCCCTCAAGGCAGCCAAGTGATCATTGTTGAAGCCAATGAACCAGAAGAATGTGTTCCTGCCTCTGTGACCTGGCAGCTGGTGGAGAACCAAGAGACGGGACCTGGGAAGAAAGTGAGCAAACGTTAGGAGGCCCCTCCGTGGGCCTAGACTGATGGAATACAATCCTGGCACTGCACAGCCTTCTCTCAACTCCAGAAGTCAATCCCTCACATTTGTCCAGAGTTGTACAGTTTGCAAAGCATTTCCACCAGCTCTAGTTGCCTATTAAAATCACCTGGGGGAGTTTTTAAGCTTCCCAATGCAGGCTTCACCAATTAAATCAGAACCCCTGGGTGGGAGCTGGCATCAGGTGCTTTTTCTGGCGATTCCAGTGTGTAGTCATGGCTGAGAACTACTGATTTACAGTCATATTTTCCACTTGGTCATTAAATAACCCTCTGCAATTGGGCAAACCATTAATTTTACAAATGAGAAAACTGAGGCTCAGAGAAGTAAGCTGGCCCGATACAAAAACTGGTGAGTTGCAGAGCAGGAAAGCAGACTTAGGTTTTTGATTCCACACAGATCCATGGGCATTTAGATTGTACTATACCTATGGCAGGAAGCTAACAGAGACTGGGCTTGTCTAGATAGAAAGCTCCTGGTGCTCTTGTGACAGAAGAGCTCTTTCAGATGACGACAATGGGCTGTAGCCTCACATTCCATCACTAAAGGTAACACCCATGCTTTTCTGTGACTTCAAAGAGATGGCCCTACAGGTGATGAATTACAAAAATGCTGCCTTCCTCCAGGCTGACCAGCCTTTCAGATTGTTAAGTATAGAGTTGGCCTTCATGCAGTCAGGAGTCTTTGTACAGTACACAAACTGCACTGCTGTACAGGGTGGCCCTGCCCCTACCCTGGGAAGAGATGGGTTAACTTACCTCAAACTCTAATTGCATGGGCTGTGAAAGATGACAGCTGTCTCTGCTCTCAGATTTCTGGTGCTTATTTCCTTGTGCACCTACTTGCTTCTGCCATGGTGCATGCTGCCTGCCTTTCACTGCATGCTGTAACTCAAGTCCTTTGTGAATTTCAGCTAACAGTCCACTCACATTACTCATTCATGAGTTTAACGCCTCTAAGGAAGTTTTGGTCCCCACCAGGAGAAGCTGTATCACAGTTTCAGGCCTTCCTCCTCCCTGGATTCCTCCACCATACTTTGTCTCCCCACATTTCTAGTGCAAGCAAAAGGAATTCCTCCCCTTACCTCAGAAGGGATGCTTTAGAACATGTATTTTGTTGGTTATTTTGCAACTGGGGATAGAAAGGAGGGATGTGTCATCTTGCCTCCCAATTCGGCACAGCAAAATTTTTTTTCTTTCACATACAGTGCTTTCTCTGAGATGAAGACCTCTGATGAGTAAAATTTTCTCACCTCTTGTACTATTTGAATTTAGAGTCCTAAACACAAATGGAAGGCTCTCTGAGAAATATTGCTTGAAAAAACCATGATTAATTGTTGATATAATGAATGCACAGGCATTCAACAGGTGCTTTCTGCCTAACTGGGAGCCAGGTAGGGCTAGAACAAAGCCAGAGAAACACCTTGACAGGTGAAAGATAGGAGGAAAAGGGTCTTGGAAAAGGAGTACTCCTGGTGCTGTGGATGTAGAGTATGGAATATGGAAGAGAATCTAGGAACCATGATAGAAGGGGTTACCGTTGAGGTAGGGTCATAACAAAGGTCAGAGGCTGCATGCTAAAAGGAGTTAGACACTGAAGAAAGAGTGCCTAATTTACAGTGAAGACAATGAGAGTTATTTTTGAACAAATAAATGGTAAGAGATCTTAGAAAATATAAGGTTGCATGAGGAAAAGAAGGAAGAAGAGGGAAGAATTTTCCTGTTCTTACTTGTAATAATTAATTGGGACCTAGGAATAGATTTCTTCAGCAGACTGACGTCATACATATTATCTCCCAAGATGGGATCCAGAGTTCCATACCGTCAAAGTATCATATGTTTACATAATCTTGGGGGGAATGTTCTGAGTGTTTTTCTTTCTCTGGGTAGAAGTGCTGTAGACAAATTAAACATTATTTTGTTGCTGACCTTAACACTGTTAAGCAATATGAAAACTCTTCCTTCAATAAAGCATAGAGAAGCAGAGACATTCCTTAAGAGTTAATGTAGGAGTGACGCTCTTTTGATTTTAGGAAACCTACATTAACACCGGAAACAGTTCAATGCCTGGTGGGGAAAGGGGAAGCTGCTACCATTTTGCAATGAGTGGGAAATCATACCAAGTGATATTTCAGCATTTCAACAGCCTGCTTCCAAAAGTAAGTACTGGAGAGATGAAGCATTTTTGTTTTGTACCTCAAATTAGTGAGGCGAAAGGAGGGGGGGAGTATTGAAATCAGTGACCACAGAGGTTGCCTCCCAGTTAGAGAATAAACACCCCCAAAGGAGCACAGCTCCTGATGATGTTTTCTGGCCTTTTTTATGCCTACTGGTCCTATGCAAACCCACAGCCTCCTGTTCAGAGTTTGAGTGCTGGTACCTTCTCTCACTCCTGTGGTCAGTTCAATCTCAGCCTTCCTCCTTCTTTCCCTCCCCAAGCAGGAGAATGACAGAGTGCCAAACGCACTGCTTGTTTTGCAGGCCAGCTTCTCCCTGAAACCTTCCAGCTCATGTCAGGCTAAGCTCTATTCCCCTTCCTGTCTGGATTCTTAAATTACAGCAAGAGGAAACAAAGGCCCCATGGTTTATTTTCAGAATCATTTGTTATCTTGTCCTCTGAGTGTCCTGTTCTAAAATAGTGCTGTGCAGGGTTGTGCTGTCAATGTGCGGGAGATTAATGGAGCACAAGGGGAGGGCAGCACTGTTAGCAGTGTCTTAAAAATTCTGTCATCCTACCAGCCAAGAACCACAGAATCTAGACCCCAAAGGCTTCTAGAAAGCTCTTACTTCAGTTCAGGGAAAGCTGAGACTCAGAGAGATTAAGTCACTTGTCTAAGGTGTGCACAGCTAGCTAGCACAGCTGAGAAGAGAGCCTTGTTTCCCAACTTCCAGCCTTTCCTCTGTCTGTGCTATGATTATGGAGGTGGTGTCTGTTAGAAAAGAACTGTTTCCTCAAGCATTTTTATTCCATATGCTCGGCTGCTTCTTAGTTACTGTAATATTATTGATTAGTGCTCACCCCATCTTGGAAAAATGGTCTGGGAGAAACGTAATAGAGTTGTAATGGAAGACTTAAAGAGACATTTCAATATTAAAGCATTAAATCTCCATATTTCCCTTCCTGGTATTGGTCTAATGACATACCATCCAATGCTATATTAAATTAGTAACCAGGAGTGATTTTTCAGGGCTGTTCTTTTATTTTTAAAAGTTTTATTCTTCCCAATCATATTGTAATGGTGGTTTTTTTCTTTTTAGATTCTGGTGAATGGAACTGTTTTTGCAAGAATGTCTCCTGGGCAGAAATCAAGCCTTATTGAAGAATTTCAGAAATTAAAGTAGGTGTCATTGCATGAAAGGAGAGAGTATGCTCATTAACCATCACTACATAACAAATTACTCATAGCCACATAGTGGCTTAGAATTGGCTTAAAATAACACCAATTATTGACCAGTGGTCAATAATCAGGTGTGAGTCAAATGGCTATTATTAAAAAGTCAAAAATAAGAAATGTTGGCAAGGTTGCAGAGAAAAGGGAACACTTATACACTATTGGTGGGAGTGTAAATTAGTTCAACCATTGTAGAAAGCAGTATAGCAATTCCTCAAAGAGCTAAAACAGAACTATCATTTGAACCAGCAATACCATTACTGGGTATATACCCAGAAGAAAATAAATCATTCTACCATAAAAATAGATGCAGGTTTTTCTGTCTAACAATCTTTGTCCTCTAATTTCAGCTTTGGGGGAAAAAAAAAACCAAACAAAAAACCAAACACATGTAGGTGACTGTTCATTGCAGCACTATTCACAATAGCAAAGACATGGGAATCAACCTAAATGCTCATCAATGACAGATTGGATAAAGAAAATGTGATACATATGCACCATGGAATACAATGCAGCCATAAAAAAGAATGAGATTATGACTTTTGCAGGAACACAGATGGAAATGGAGGGTATTATCCTTAGCAAACTAATGCAGGAACAGAGATCAAATAGTATGTGTTCTCACTTATAAGTGGAGGCTATGAGAACATATGGACACAAAGAAGAAAACACAGATACCGGGGTCTCCTTGAGAGCAGAGGATGGGAGGAGGGAAAGGAGCAGAAAAAATAACTATTGTGTACTGGGCTTAATTCCTGGGTGATGAAATAATCTGTAAAACAAACCTCCATGACACGAGTTCACTCATATAACAAGCCTGCACATGTACCCCAAACCTAAAATAAATGTTAAAAAAAAGAGGATCAAAAAAAATTTCAGGTGTGGCTTAGCTGAGTCTTCTGACTGAGGATATTGCTCAAAGGTGTAATCAGGTGTTGGCCATGACTACAATCAATCAGTGCTACAGTGGGGTGAAAAATCTCCCACCAGCCTCACTCACATGTTGTTGAATGCTCAGTGCCTTATGAGCTGTTGGACTGAACCTCAGTTTTTCACTGGCTAGTGTACAGAAGACAGCTTCAGTTCCTTGTGACAGGGGCCATTTCATAAGGAAGCTCACAGTGTGAAAGTTGACTTCTAACAGAGTCGGTAAGCAAGAAGAACCAGAGATCGAGAGAGCACGCAAGACGGATGTTGCTGTTTTTATATACCAGTTGCAGAAGTGATATTTCATCACCTTTGCTGTATTCCCTTCCTTAGGAGCAAGTCACTAGATCTAGCCCACTTCCAGGGGAGTGGATTACACAGGGGCATAGATACCAGGAGCTGGGAATCACTGAGGGCCATTTGGAAGTTGCCTATCCCAGAGAGCATTTGTTCATTTGTTCTGTGGTTCATAAGGCATATATCTTAGAGAACCCTACCCTGCTTGGATGTAGTGGAAATGATGAGGCAGGTTGTATAGCTCAGAATCAGAAAAAATGGGGAAGTAGGTGAGTTATACCCTGGAATTATTTTAGGTTGGTCCTTTAGAAGATATGTGAATAATTTCTGGTCCTCTTAGTGAGAGGTGGAATAGCATTTTCACTTTATCTGGCTCCAGTAGGGAGAGTCAAGAGAAAGTTCTTTATTACCCCCTTCAAAAATAAAGATGACCAAGTTACATTATAGTGAAATGGTACTTCTTGAAACCAGATCTACCTATTGCTTGATGAGAACGTTGCAGTTTGGGGCTACAGTTCTAGAAAGTGAAAAGGAACATAGGCTGGTGAATCTTTAGATGATAGCTGCTAAGTAGTTGTTGAAATCAGGAGACAGCCTTTTACTTTCAGCTTTTGTTACTCAACCATTCATAGGGAAGTCTCAAAACCTGCCTATTAACTTCCAGAATGCCTGAGGCTGGGTAAGTAACCAGTGACTAAAATGACTGTTTCATTCCCATGAGCATTATATGATATTGCTGAAGAAAGTAATTTTACCTTTTTAAAATGCCTGAGAAATTTCGCCAACTAAAATGCCCAATTTTGAAAAGCTGTATTCCCCTTAAAAAATCAAGTCAGGAAGACACCTACTGTCTCAGAATGAGCTGTCTTCTCAGTATCCCAACCTTCTTCCTCATGCCTTTTTCATTGGCAATGTGCATAAGGCTGCCTGCATTCTCTTTCTGAGTTCAGGGAATACTAGAAGAGGTAGGATTCCTGATGTGATATAGAGACTAGAGGTGTGTTTTGAGCCTGAAAAAGAGGATCTATTTTTCAACAATTGTGGGTATTCATGACATGGCCATATATAGCATGATTTTCATCTAACAACCCCATATCGGATTGAACCATAGGGGTCTGTCTACATTGGACTATTTTGACCTGTAAAAGTGGTCATTTCTTATGCATTAACTAATAATAAGGAAATTCTAAGGAAACTTTATTTTTTCTCCTTATTGATTTTGTAATTCTGTTTTTAGAAAAATGCAGCTAAGTCTTTAACAGTATTGTCATTTATTAATACTTATAATGCATTACTTGCAATAGAAGGCAGGCAGTGTCTTACATCTGAAACTCCTTTTCTTTGGCAGTTGTATTAGTTTTTACTCATCTATTTTTATCGTGCTTGCACACCAAACTGATACAGATGGAAAGAGTATCTTATTTTTACCCTGAGATAAATACAAAATATGAGTATATGTCTCTAGTTATATCTATTAAACTATTTTTTAAAATTTCTCATCCTAGTATCTGAACTCGAAATGCTCAGCAACAGTCAACCACTAAAACACAGCTGGATTGGGTTATGATCTCTGCATTAGGTTGTGTGGGAAGTGCTCTGCTCATGACTGCATACTTGCTTGGCCTTGGTGCATTTAATCAAGCAGGACTTCTTTTGAAGTGTGTGATCACTGTTCTGATGATGTCCTTGGTGATATCGCTGCCAGTTCAAAGTGATTGATTGAAATGACTTAAATAATATCCATTGTATTATTTAAGAGACATATACTCAGACATTTCCCTCTGAGTATATGTCTCTCCAAACCATTTTTCTTCAGCCTGCTCCCAAGTGTGTTCAGGGGACACACACATACACACAAATCACATGTGACTTAGTTATGACAGAAACTATTCAAGTGAGGTGTTAACTTTTCTTACCTGCTAATTTTTCTTATCCTGTCTCCTGTAGTTATTATGTGGGCATGTGTGGAGATGGAGCTAATGACTGTGGGGTGAGTAGAAAGGACTTCTGCTAAGGCAGGCAGCTCACTAATATCCCTCGAGGACCTCGTGGCCTCCAGGGGTGTATCTCTTCATCCTTCCACCAGCAACGATTTCATTATTTTGCTGTTTATATCCACCTCTACCTGAGTGTGGGTTGGAAGTGGAGGGGAGTAAAGGGAGAAGAAACACTTCAGATGCTTTCTGGAAACTCCTAGAATAATGAAAACAAGGAAAGGCGACTTAGACTCCCATATTTCAGGTTCCAAAGAAGGAACTTTACAAGCCTAGCTGGTTTAAATCTTTCCTGTTATCAATAAGGAAATGAAGTCTCAGGGAGGTGATTTCTTCCCCTGCTCCCCACCAAGGTCACACAGCTGATAAAGACAATGAAAAAAGTTTGAAACTGATGGTTAAAGTTTTGAATTATAAGTAAATTATATTTATTCCTGTCAAACTTTCCTCCTCTGGTTAGTTTTTAAAAGTTTGCTTCACCCAGAACTCTATCACTCAGTAAAATCCTAGACCAAACTATTTGGTTATTTTATGCTACAGAAAAAATAAAATTATTCTCAGCAAATTATTTTTCATATGCAGAAAAGCAGTGCATGTTTTATATTCTAAGTTTTAAAGACATGAAGGAAACAAATAGTATACCTTTAAGATTATGTACCAAGGAAATATTTCAGTAGTTGATTTATGGGACAAGAAATGAGGAAGATTTCTTTGTATTTCCAAAGCTTATTAGAGATTTAAGATCTAAGTATTTGTTTTATTTCTCTCTTAAATAGTATTTCCAAATTTCTGTAAAAATTGTTTATAGTTAGAGATTTATTAAGATTTTATTTTTTGCTTTATGCTTAATGAGAAAAAGCTAATTTTTAGTCTGTTCTTTCAAATCTAGAATGTGTAATCCTTTCACATTCACTATGTGGAGTTTAGAATAAAACAAAAAAATCAAATGCTAAAAGGGACATAGTCTCTGCCTTCTAAAGAATCCATTGTCTGATGAAGAAAGAAATCATGCATAAAACTAACCCTAACATAAAGTAGATGATCCTAAAGTATATCATAGAGATACAAAATACTAAGAGAGAAAAGAAGAAGGAAATATAATATTTATTAAACATGAATCTAGTATGTATTGCTCATGGTGCCAGGTACCCTGCAGTCTATGGAACTACAGATAGATCAAATTTCATTTTATGCCCACACAATTCTTGTAGGATCAGACTAGGAAAAGGTGGGTATTCTATCTTTCACTTTTGTTCATGAAGACTCCTGCCAAGTACAAGAACTGAAGTGGTAAAGGTCCCTAACCAAAGTCCATCCAAATTCTGTCATCTTTTTAATTGACTTTTTGAATGAGGGCTTCCATCTCCTTATCACATCTATATCCCCACAGGCAGGGCCTTGCACACACACACCCACATCCTCACACACATGCCTGTACACACACAACTCTTCTACCTCTGGGTCATTGTTTAGTTAGTGACTGTGTAGATCGGGGGAAAGAGGATACTCCAGATGGAGGGAGAGCATAAACTGAGACCCAAAGATGACAAAGTATAGTGTTAAACCTCTGTGTTGTGAAGAACAGCCTCTTGGTGTTTTAAGAGGTAAAGCCTAGCCTGAAAAGTCATGGGGGCTTATCATTCCAGGCTTTGAAAGTGGCTCATGCAGGCATTTCATTGTCAGAGCACGAAGCATCTGTGGCATCCCCTTTTACTTCTAAAACGGCCAACATCAAGTGTGTGCCTCATCTCATCAGGTAAGTCATTTCTTCCTCTTCTACCCACACGAGTGGGCCCATTGTCTAGCTCTGGAGACAGACAGAATTCAACTACAACCTAAAGTAATAATTTCTGCAACAGAGGTATGGGTGAAGTGCTACTGGAGAACAAATGAAGGGGGCCATTAGTGTTGCCTGAGAGTGCTGGTAAAAGCCACAGAAAAGTGACTTTTGCTGAGCCTTAAAGGGTAGGTAGGTATCATGTAAACAGTTGAAAGCTTGACTTGATATTCTAAAACTGATGGTATTTCTCAATTTTTCTCTCCTTTATTTGAAATGTTGGATGCTTCCCCTAACATTTCTCTCAGGAGTTTGGGATGAGGAAGCAGAAAGGAAATACTTCATTAGATAGCTTCTCTAAATACTATTACATGTCTCCAAAATGCAAATTAGTAAATATCTAATATCTTTTACATAAAAGATGTTACAGTTGATTGGCAGTGTCAGGGAAGGGAAGTGATATGGTTTGGCTCTGTGTCCCCACCCAAATCTCATCTGGAGTTGTGGTTCCCAACGTGTTGAAAGAGTAACCTGATAGAAGGTGACTGGATCATGGGGGCAGTTTCCCCCATGCTGTTTGCATGATAGTGAGGGAGTTCTCATGAGATGTGATGATTTTTAAAGTGGCAGTTTCCCCTGCGTGCTTTCTCTCTCCTGTTGTCTTGTGAAGAAGATGCCCACTTCTCCTTCACCTTCTGCCACTGTAAGTTTCCTGAGGCTTCCCAGCCATGTGGAACTGTGAGTCAATTAAACCTCTTTTGTTTATAAATTACCCTGTCTCAGGTAGTATCTTTATAGCAGTGTGCAAATGGACAAATACAGGAATACATTAAGAGACGTTTATTTTCACAGTACGCTTCCCTCACCTCCACTCCACTCTCACTTCTGATCTCATGTCTACTTATATTTTAAATGTAGTTAAGAACAAAACACCCAGTTTTATGTTTTATTCATAAATCTCACTTCTCTATTGTTTCCTATAGCACTTAGGGTTAATTTCTAGGCATTTTCATGGGCAGTGATCTGAAAAACATCAGCAGATTTTAATATTCATACAAAAAAGACAACTATGAAGTTCCCCAGCATGTCTTTTGGAACTCAAGCCAGAATAAATAGGTCACTGGCAGGAATCACTGATCTAAAGGTAGCAGGTCTAAATTTCCATGTTCCTGGCTGGCTGCATATCAGCAAGACAGTTTTACACAACACCCTGAACACTGGGCATTTGCATCTCTGTCCTTTCACATCCTCAAACATGATCGTTTCCCCTGCCTCCAAAGCAGCTCCTCTTCCCAATTCCCATGTCCCCTGCTTCTAAGAACAATTTACTCCTTAGAGTCAGCGTTGAGGTTCAGACCCTTAGAGTACTTTTAACTCCTTCTTCCTCTTCACTCATAACCAAACAAACATTATGTTTTACCAAGTTATCTTTGCAGAGTCTCTCTAAGACCTTTGCTTAATATCTCTAGTGTCTTAACCTTGGTTTGTGTCATGGTGAGTATACAATGATAGCGCTCAGAACCCTCACCTTATTTTATGCTTTTCATCATCAGTACAACTCATGGAGCTCTTTACAAATGTGCTTGGAAATGTGGTGAAGCATGAGAGAATCCTGCCCTGGAGAACTTACATTCCAGCAAAAAGATAAACACACACACATATACATTATTTATTGAGTGTCTCTCATGCATCAGGCATGTTTTATACACACACACACACACAATTATATATATATAATGTCTGATACATGAGAGGTGCTCAATAAATTTGCTTGAAATAAATTAATGTCCAAACAATAAAGCAAATGTTCTGGCAGTTGAATGTGAGAACTTAAGCCAGGAGGGGAGATTTCAGTAGGGGAGTTGCAACTTGAAAAATGGATAAGACTTATATAAACAGAAAGGAGGTAGGAGGGAATTCCAGGTGGGGAAAATGTGGCAGCCATGTTTAGACACAGGGTTGTAACTGGAGAATTGCAAAGACCAATTGGCACAACTGGGCTAGAAGACTTCTCAGATGGGAATTGTGGGGGTTAAGCTATAGAACTGGATGCGGAGGCCTTGCAGGGAGTTTGACCTCCTGGATAGTAGTGCAAAGTGCCTACTTGATCCATTCAACATGCAGTGGCATTTGAACTTCAGATGCTCCTCCTCATGCATGTGACCCAATGCATTTATGAATGCAGTATCCTGTTACGGAATGCAAGTAATGATGTAAAACTTCTCCAGTGGCAGATGGCTCAGTGAGACTCCAGGGTAGAAACTACTTGCTTTTATATTTCATAGATTTATGAAAATTAGATGTGGTTCAGCTCTGTTAGCCCCATTTTACTTTTTCTATCCTTAATGCATATTTATTCCTGAGAAAGCACTCCAGAGAAGCAATGAGATACAGTTCTGGATGCATAGGTTCAAATCCACAGATTTTCATCTTTGTCTTTTGAAACATGATTTACTTGCTGCTATAGTTCAAGTCCTTTAGGGAAAGGACTGTGTCTTAGTCATTTTTATATCAAGCATTATGCTATCACTAAGCTGGGTACGTCAGAGCATTCAGTGAATGTTTGTAGAATGCAGAGATAAAGGCATGAGCTACTTAAAATTCACAATCCTTAGGAATAGCAGTAGTTTTGGAGGCCCATTTGTCCTTTACTAAGAATGGTTTCTTATACTTTCCTTTGAATCAGGGTGTCTTAATTTTCCTGGAAATATACACGATTGCAGAAAAAAAAAAAAAAAACAATGAAATCACAATGTTTATATCAGACTTGGGAAAAGGATCCATACTTCACATGCTTGCCCTTTTTCAGCTTGTCTTCTGCTCCATTTTCAGTGTTGAAAACAAATGACAGCACCTCGCAGCTTGGTAGAAAATATCTTCCCAAAGTATCCTGGCCTGTCTCCCATCCTAGCCTTCTTATTTTGCCTGAGATGAAGTGGTTAGTTTGGCTTTTAGGTTCTTCTTTTCATGTCCCCGTTCTGTTGACCACATCTTTGAGCAGAGCGGGTGTCCATGTTACTGGGCACTAGAAATGAAGTGGATATGGGTCACTTCCCATGTGGACCGCTTCTGCTCTGACAAGAGGAGGCTGTAGGACAGCTGGTTAGCAGAGGTCCCACTCCCGCATCAAGTGCTGCTACCTCACATTGTTTTCCTTTAACCTGTCATAATCCACTATTCAGAAATCCTCAGTTACACCATTAACATGTAAGACCAATTTTTTTTAAAGGAAGAATATCTACTTTTTAAGTTGCATTTTTTACTGTTGTCTTGATCTCTTGATCTTTATGGTCCACTCAGATTATTACCCTGGAGTCTTCCCACAATATCAAAGCCAACGTAACCCATTTCATCTCAGATATTAGAGTCACATTCACACTTCCTAAAATGTCAAAGCACCTATCCTTTAGCTTTATGTCTCGGAGGACCTCTAAAGCACACACAGTGCAATTCCCAGGAAGCACCTATGGTTAAGATGTAATGAGTCACAAGCAAGTCAATGCTTGACATTTTGCACCTTATCATAATGTTACATTGTGTTTATAATACACATAGTAATCTTCTCACTTCACTGAAAACTTGTTGAAAATGAAGAGTGTGCCTGATTCATTTTATATCCTGTATGACTCTTAGCATAATGCTGGTACTTCATAAGCCCTAAACAAAAGTGAGTAAATGAACCGCTGTGTAACATAATGATTGAAGGAGAGAGTGAATGAATAAGTGGTTAAATAAATGAGAGGGTGAATTCATGATTAAGTGAATGTACGTCAGCAGGCTATTAAAAATGTAACTCCTTTTGAATATAAAAGAAGTTGGGAGACATCTATCATACATAACCAATTATTTTTATTTATTTTTAAACAGAGAAGGCCGAGCTGCTCTGGTTTCATCCTTTGGGGTATTCAAATACTTGACCATGTATGGCATAATCCAGTTTATCGGTACATCCCTGCTCTATTGGGTATGAACCAAAATCATTTTGTCTCAGTTCTAATTCTATTTATTTTGCTAATTTATTATTCAGGGTATAGCTCTTACACAGGATTTTAGTGTTTTATAAGTAAATGACATTTCTCAATATTGGTGTCTGCAAACTCAGGAACCTAGTCTAACTGTGCATGAAACATGGAACTAGAAATAAGGAGATATAGATCAGTTTTCTAGAGTGTTGTTTTTCTCTCGATAACCTGAGAGTCTTGACCTCTCCAAACCTGTGTTTCTTATTTTGGAGTATGAAGAGAGCTTCAGAGCTGCCTAAATATAATTCAAAAGGAAATAAATGAGTTTCCAGTTGTGGAATATTTTCAACAAAAGACTAAGAAGAGATAAAAGGAAGAGAAGTTGTTGAATTTACTTTTGAAGGGCTAGAATGCTAAAGGCTTTTCAGAATGGACCCTTATAACTGAACCTACCTAGAATTCATACAGTTAGACGTATTATTAGTAAAGAATCAGGAATTCTTTGAAACTAAAAAAGACTCAAAATTAAATGATGATAATAGCCATTTAAAAATTAATTAGCTGTACGGAAGAACAATGTATAAGCTAAAAATAAACTTCATTAGCCCAATCATAGCTTTCACTACAGTGAAAATGATCCAGCAGGCTCAAGGAACACTTCAGGAGAGATTATTCTACTGCTTTCCTGGGAGGTTTGAGAAGTGAATGAGAGGGCCACAAGATTATACCATCCAGTGGGTTATTGCTTGCAAGGAACATTCGCAGACGGCTCAAAGGCAGCCTGGTGGAAAGAAACAAGAGCTGGACTGGGAGTCAGAAAACCTGGATTCAAGTTCTTTCTCCATCCGAAAAACAAATTAGGTCTTGCCTTTGGCCAAAACCTGCTCTTGGGTAGCTGATTTTCAAAGCCCTCCATAGTTCCATGAAAGCTGCTTTTAGAAGAAAAACTAAAGCTGTGGTTGGAAATTTCTTCCTGCTCCACCTCATTCTGAATGTATAATTTTACCACTCTCAGATGAAAAGAAGGGGAAAGGATATGAGAAAGAAAAGTAAAGAGGACAGGGGAAGAACTGGAAGTTGACAGGGACACTGAGGAACCAATGGCAGCCTTTCAAAAATGTGAAAGCAGAACTTCATTTCCAAGGCCTCCATGGATGGAGATGGAAACCATAGTCCACTCTGAAGTCATTCATTCTTGTGGTCTAGACCTAAATAAAGAGTGTCACAGAAGAACCTTAACCTGGTACCTTCTGGGGCTTGGATTCACCCTCTGAGAAGCCAGCCTAGAAGAAGCCATGTTTTTCATGTGCATAAATCTGGTCCGTAATGTGCTCAGAACCAGCTTATAGTTTAGTGCTTAGTCAACAGATATGAAACAGATAAACAGATCTGGCTGCAAGAGACACTGCAAGGCAAGTTCTTGGAGAGTAATGATTTGAATTTCATGCCTAAATACTTCAGCTCTATAATGTGAACTTGAAAGAAGTTCTGTCTACACAAACCTTAAATACGCAGATGTACCAGATTGAATTTTGCAATGGGCTTGCTTAGGAAAGAAGCCCTTGATCAGTTTGTGAAAGTGAATGGACTCCAAGAGACCTACGTTGTAAACTCATCCTATGGGTAAGGATAGAGAGCAACACCTGTTGAATGAATTGGGCCTTCACTTCAAATTTTAAGTCTAACATTTCTAAGGGAACTTTCAGGCTTTATTATCTTATGTTGAGAATTCAACTGTCTAGGCTGAGACCACAGCTGTCAGGTAATTAATGCACCCGATAGGAGCGTGGCTCTCAAATGATTGACTTTTGTCACTATTATGAAGTAAATTAAATGCAGGGAAAGTAGTCTTCCAGCCCTGAGATGCTAATAATTTTAGGTAAGTCACTTTCTTCCTGAAGAGGAAAGCAAAGTAACAGCTGCCTCCTAACTACTTAAAAAGAGTGTAGGGAATAAGAAAAAGGCTATGATGACAGATGCCACATTTATATTTGCTTTTGTTTCTTTTTCAGCAACTACAACTCTTTGGAAATTACCAGTATCTCATGCAAGACGTAGCCATTACTTTGATGGTCTGTTTGACAAGTAAGCTCTTTGGCAAAGTAAACTGTATTGTTATTTATTTATCCATGAAATTCTAGAAACAGTCACACAAAAAGGAACTTTTGAGAAAGAGGCACCCTTATTTCTAAAACCTCATTATTTATGAATTTTTTAAAAGTGATGTTGGGAATAAGTTGAGAGTTGAAATCCCCAGACTTGGCATTAAAACATTCTGATAACAAACAGGTCTTAGTCTCAAAAAATTGTCAATGTAAGTCAGAGTTCTTTGTAGGTTTATGCCTTATACATAGAAAAATGAATAAGAAATCTAGAGAGAGAATGTTTTAAAACCCAAAGGTCACTTTCCATTATTCAGCTATGCTTCACATTGATGTGAAACCAGATTTTTGCCAGGTCTTTGATGTGTGAGAACAAATGCTAACGTTTTATTTTAGTAGAATTCTCCAAAGTCAAGGTGTGGCTTACAACAGCAGCTATTGCTCATTTCCTTCCTTTGAGATGACACTGATAAAGTATTTCCTATCAAGGAACTCAGGGCTTGATGCTAACTCTTAGTAAGTGAGAACAGTGACTGCCTCACCAGAGAGGAAGGAAAAAGGATGGCATTGTTCATCTCTTTTTCCTTGCTCGACAATAGGCATGTTATGAAAAATAACAGGTAAAACATCAGGCAATGCAGGATATTAATAACCTTGAGAATTTCATGTAGTATCTTAATACATAAAACTGATATGTTTTATGTATCAACCCAATGACTAAATTTATCAGTACCAGAGATATAAGCACTATAATATCCATTTTGATTCTTAGGGTTGAAATGTCTATTCATAGCTTATTAAACTATTTTTCTACATGTTATTAATATTCTTATGACTGAATAATTTTGAATCAATCAGATTGCTTCTACGGTGTTGAATATTTTAAGCAATTTGCATGATTTGTTTTTGAATGATGCTAAAAAGAGAAAAAAACACCAAGAGATTTCAGGAACCAAGCTTTCAGGCAGCAGCATGGAGGTGAAGGCAATGGCAATTGTGGCCTGTTTCCAGGACCTCTGGCAAACTGTCCTCATAGAATTGTGAGGATCAGATACAATGAAGCCTGTAGAGTGTGCACTACATCACAGGACACATGGGGCATTCATTACAACGTGAATCATATCACACCTCACCTCTCCTCCTTTTCCTCTTTTGAGAAGACTAACTAGCTCTCTGAGCACCTGAAGAGCATTAGAATGTGTACAGGTAGACAGGTGTCATTAGAAACCCCAAAACATGGCTGTTCTTCCTAGTTCTAGTCTTGCCTTAGACTTGCTATATGACATTGAGTAAGTTATCTGGAGCTTTTGCACACTGAATTCTGTGATGTTAGTTATGGATTTGACTCCTGTGGTAGTGGGGCTGCTTAACTCTTTCCTACAGCAATAGCCTGTTAAGCCTCATGCCAGTTGGTAGCCCTGGAAAACTCAGTCTTCTCAGAGTGGGCTCTATGGGAGTGCTGGGATGACTCATAGTGGGACCGTTATTACCACTGCGAGAAAAAAGCCTCAGAAGAGTGATGATAGACCAGAAGCCTAACATTCTATCAGAATGACGGCACTTTAATTATTACTCAACAAACTGTAGCTAGTAAATGGGCTAAACTCAGGGGAGACTGGTGAAGGAGAGAGTAGAGGCAGAAATCAGCTGTGCTTTTTTGTTTGTTTTTTACCCTTTACCTGCAAACATCCTATTGTTTTCCCATCTCTGCAAGCTTACTCATCCCACAGGTTGATCATTTCCCGGTCAAGTCTAAGTACTAAGATGAGCTTATCCTTAGATATGAAAAGTCCAGATACTATAATTATTATTTCACATTTTCATCCAATTCAAAGTTTTTCCTCCCTTAGATCAAGCCTGACCTATGTGTTTGCGGCAAGCAGTAGATGAGAAGGCCATGGTCTCTTCTTCACTTCCCTTGAGTCACCTACTCTCCACCCCTGCTTCTGGGGAAGAAGAGCAACAAGAGCACAAGACTTATTTTTAAGCTCTTTTTTTTTTCTGCTGCAAATTTTATTTTAATTTCCAGGGTACATGTGCAGGATGTACAGATTTGTTACAAAGGTAAACATGTGCCATGGTGGTTTGCTGCACAGATCAACACGTCACCCAGGTATTAGGCCCAGCATCCATTAGCTAGTCTTCTTGTTGCTCTCCTTCCCCCTTGCCCTCTCCAACGGGCCCCAGTGTGTGTTGTCCCCCAACATGTGTCCATGTGTTCTCATCATTCAGCTCCACTTATGAGTGAGAATATGGAGTGCTTGGTTTTCTGTTCTTGAATTAGTTTACTAAGGAACAAATGAAAAATACTCCATGCTCATGGATAGGAAGAATCAATATCATGAAAATGTCCATACTGCCCAAAGTAATTTATAGGTTCTATGGTATTCCCATTAAACTACCACTGATATTCTTCATAGAATTAGAAGAAACTATTTTAAAATATATATTGAACAAAAAAAGAGCATGAATGGCCAAGACAATCCAAAGCAAAAAGAACAAAGCTGGAGGCATCATGTTACCTTACTTCAGACTATACTGCAGGGTAACAGTAACCAAAACAGCATGGTACTGACATAAAAACAGACACAGAAATCAACAGAATAGAGAACTCAGAACTAAGACCACACATGTCATCTGATCTTTGGCAAGTCTGACAAAAACAAACAATGGGGAAAGGATTTCCTATTTAATAAGTGGTGCTGGGAGAACAGGCTAGCCATGTGCAGAAAATTGAAACTGGACCCCTTCCTTACACCTTACACAAAAATTAACTCAAGATGGATTAAAGACTTAAATGTAAAACCCAAAACTATAAAAACCCTGGAAGAAAATCTAGGCAAAGGACCTTTTACTTAAGTAGGAGTATGTAGTGCTCTCCTGTCAAATGCCCTCAAACATGGCAGGCACCTACATTCAGGCAATAGGCAGGGGGTTCATTGGTGAATTCATCAGAGATTCTCTGTTGATTGCTCTGGACTAGACCATGCCCTGACATGGTGGTGCTCTCTCCCTCTGCCTCTCAAGATTCCTTTCTGCGGCTGCCTCCTAATGGCACATACCATGAAGCCCTTTTCTACTGCTGGACCCTCCAACCCCCGCAGGTTGCCACGTAGATAAACCCCTTCAGGATAGCTAGTTCTAGCCTGGCTAATTTCCATGGCTTCTACTTGACCTACCAGACAGCAAATGAGTAGCTTGCCCTCACTGCTGCCTGCCTTTTCCCTCTGCTATTACCATGAAGGTGAGTGAGCAAGGCCAGTATCCTCTCTTAAAACCACTTCCACTCTCTCCAGCAATGGCTATTATGGCTTCCCTTCATGGGGTTGCAATGCAGCTGATAAGAAGACCACAGTTTATACTGCTCCTAACAATTGCCTTTAAAGAATTGCTGATAGTCTCCATAAGTTTTCTCTTATACAGACTGCATTCAGCGAATGGGGCAGGAACAGGCATGCTTGTAGTTGAATATCCAATAGGGATCTCTCTTGACAGGTACTATGGAGACACAGCGATAATCTCACTTCACAATAAATTGTCACTTGCAATTCATTATCCTAAAATATAAGGCTCAGCAAAATTCTCTAGACAAGAAGAGCCCCATTCAAAATTCCCTTATACAGATGTTGATCTCTCACTATGTATTAGCCACATAGGTTCCTGAGGCATGAGAAGGCTGATGATTCAAGTTTAGAGTTTAGTGGGGGATTCACATATATGAACAAATAAGTTGCAAGTTGAAAGTAGTGAGTAGCAGAAAACAGCAGATGCTTTGGGAATTCAGAGAAAGAAGAGATGGTTTCTGATAATCTGGGGTTCAGGAGAGATAGCAGTGGAGAATGGAGAAGGAGACTAGGCATGGATGCATGAAAAAGGAAGCATTTACATCAAAATGGGAAGGATGGATAAGTTTCAGATATCTTTTGCTAAAAGAAGAGCATTTCAAGTAGAAGGAAACAGCATGAGCAAGAGAAAGCTGATAAATGGGAGCCATGAGTTTTTACTGTGACCACACTGCAGTGTGTGTGAAAGGAAACAGGAGGAGATAAAAATTGAAAAAGTGAATTGGGCCAAATCACAGAGAATCTTGACTGCTGATCTGGGAACTGTGGACATTTATCTGCAGCCCTTAGGAGTCATCAACAATTGATGATCAATGTAAAATCACCACTGACCCTGATTTACGATGGTTTGACTTATGGCTTTGGACTTTACAGTGGTGCGAAAGTGATGTGCATTCAGAAGAAAGTGGCCTGATACCCTCTTAGGATGCAGAGCAGTGGCAGCAAGCTGCAGCTCTTCACCAGCCCAGCAATCATGAGGTTAAACAACAGACACTCTCCACTGTACTATGTAACCAGATGATTTTGCTCAATTGTAGTCTAATTACGTGTTGCGAGCATGTTTGAGGTAGGCTAGGCTCAACTGTGGTATTGGGTAGGTTAGATGTACAGTATAAATGCATTTTCAACTTAAAATGTTTTCAAATGGCCGGGCACAGTGGCTCATGCCTATAATCCCAGCACTTTTGGAGGCTAAGGTGGGTGAATCATGAGGTCAGGAGTTCGAGACCAGCCTGGCCAATATAGTGAAACCCTGTGTCTACTTAAAAATACAAAAATTAGCTGGGCGTGGTGGTGTGCATATGTAGTCTCAGCTGCTCGGGAGGGTGAGGCAGCAGAATCACTGGAACCCGGAAGGCAGAGGTTGCAGTGAGTTGAGATTGCACCACTGCGCTCCAGCCTGGGCAACACGGCGAGACTCTGTCTCAAAAAAAAAAGAAAAGGTTTCAAATTACAATGGGTTTATCAGAAAATAACTCAATTGTAAATCAAAGAGTATCTGTATTTTCATCAAGGCTTCTTACATGTCCAAATTTCCAGGTTAAGGCTTTTGGACTTAACTCTGAAATAGTTCTGAGAACAGACAATACCATCACATATTTAATATATTTACTTACTTATCTTACACACCCTGCCTTGTTCCCAAAAGCTTTTAAGGCAACATACAGAGACAAAATATAACGCATTACAGAGAAAATCTAAAAGAAAAATAAGATGAAGTTAGGAGGGATGTTGATTGGGCAATGCATGCCTGGAAGTCCAATTTGACTCTATTTTGTATAGTGGCATCTTTAAGGGAGCTTGTTTTGCCACATCTCTAGACTCTTCAATGAGAACTCCTCAAACTAGATTAAGAAAATAGAGGGGGGGTTCTTTAATATAATTCTCAAAACATCTAAAAGCAGAAACTTGAAAGCACCTGGGTCTGGGGAGGCCTAGAACACTAAAGGTAAAAAGGAGGTCACGTTTTTTATTTCCAGGTGGCCACCTTGTCTCTCTTCTTCTTTCCAATCTTACTGTTTTCATTTGCCTTCCATTTATTCACCTCATAGTTGACTTCGTAAGATTACACTAGGACTGAAGCTTTGCAGTCTTTATGCTTGTCCTCCCATAGCTAATGAGCTCAGCCTCTCATTGCATCTATCATAGTGCCTGGACACATTGACATGCTCAGAGAAAGTTGGCTGAATACATAACAGAGTATTTTTTAATTATCCAGCATATGAAGATGAATCTAGCTATATTCCTCCCTGTTCTCCTCATTCTAACGCTCCACTTTCCTGTCGTCACTGACACGTAATACTAGTACTGCTTATCTCATGTGGAAGGCCATTTCCGTCTTTTACACACAATTTCTGGTCAGTCTGGTTATGGAGAAAATATTTGCACCATGTGATATGGTAAATATATTGATTACATAACTTTCTAACCCACCATTTTTTACTTCTGAAGTTGAAGACAGAGCGTGGAAAAGACAAAGACTGGCAGAACTGGATGTGCCACCAGGCAATGTGTTTGCCTAGGTGTAAATCTTCCGTTCATGTCTGCTTACTCTGAATCCCAATGCCAGACTCAAGATAATATGCGTCTCAACCTTCTATTCTCAATGATAAAATTGTAATGGGAAAAAATGCATTTGTCTTTCAGTGAGTTCAACCCATGCCTACCCAAAGCTGGCTCCATATAGACCAGCAGGACAGCTCCTTTCTCCCCCTTTACTGCTGTCAGTATTTTTGAATTCCTGTTTCTCCTGCATTGTGCAGATCTGTGCATTTCTCTATGTGAAGCAGCAGCCTTGGTATTGTGAGGTCTACCAATACAGGTAAGTTAATTTTCTTAGTGCTCCTTTCAAAAGGCAATTTAATGACTATCCAATGATATTGCATAACTTGGCTTGAACATATATCCTAAAACTTTTAATTAATAAAATTGTGTCTCCACGCTGCAAAACTCAAATGATAGGACAGAACACAGTCAATCCATGGACCACTCGGGGGATGGAGTGGGTGGGAAGAGATCTGTCACATTGGTTGTTAATTTATAGCTCTAACAACTGGTTGACTGAATGAATATATGACTTCCCTGGTAGTTTGTATATTTTATAGACCAGGGGTTGGCAAACATTTCTTGCAGAGGACCAGATAGGAAATAGGCTTTCTGGACTACATGGCCTCTGTTGCAGCTAGTCAACTCCGCTGTTGCAGCACAAAAGCAGCCACAGGGCTGTGCACAGTGGCTCATGCCTGTAATCCCAGCACTTTCGGAGGCTGAGGTGGGCGGATCACAAGGTCAAGAGTTCAAGACCAGCCTGGCCAATATGGTGAAACCCCGTCTCTACTAAAAATACAAAAAGTAGCCAGGCATCGTGATGTGCACTTTTGGTCCCGCTGAGACTGAAGAACTGCTTGAACCTGGAAGGCAGAGGTTGCAGGGAACCAAGATGCGCCACTGACTCCAGCCTGGGTGACAGAGTGAGACTCCATCTTAAAAAAGAAAAAAAAAAAAAAAAAAAAAAAAAGCATCCACAGACAATAGGTAAACAAGTGGGTGTGGTTGCCTAATAAAACATTATCTACAAAATCAGGTGATGAATCAGATTTGGCCTGTGGGCTGTAGTTTGCAGGCCCCTGATATAGACATACAAGAGAGATTTGCTTATTTTTTTTTTCAAATGAATGTTAAAATTAAAATGTTAATTGATGGTATCATTGTTCTGATCGAATTGGAACATTAGATTCAAGACAAGTCTCTTTACCTCTCTGGGCTTTAATGTTTTGAGGTAGGCTATAGTGCCGATGGTTCAAGCTTTATTTTGCTGACAAAGCCTTTCTGTCAGTAAAAGGCAGGAAAAGAGCTTCTCTCTTCGAAATAGGATGTGCACAAACTGCCCCTCACTCCACAGAGTGCCAGCTATCAGTAAAACACAGATTGAAAACTAGCAAATGAGGAGATTGTCATTTAGATTAAAAAATTCAGCAATTCAAGTGTAACTAGGAATATAGAATTTCATTATGTTTCAAAACTAAATTTTTTCCAAAACTGGAGTGCATATACTCAGAGAACTCAAGTTTTGACTGAACCCAGAAGACAGTATGTTGTAGCCAAAGGAGGATGGATGGGAAATCAGGAATTCTAAGAATTCCTGACTCTGTCACTAGATGTGCCATACTCGCCTTCAACCTTATTACCTGTAATGTAAGTATATCGGACTAGATACTCTTTGGTTTTAAACTCTGTAATTCAGGCCATCTAGTCTGTTCCTTTGTGTAAAACTGCTTTGTGACTATAGAACAGCTACTATAGGCCTACCTCAGAGATACTGTGGGTTTGGCTCCAGACCACCACCATAAAGTGAATACCGAAATAAAGCAAGTCACATGAAGTTTTGGTTTCCCAGTCCATATAAAATTATGTTGACACTATACTGTAGTCTATCAGGTGTGCAACAGCATTATGTCTAAAAAAGGACATGCCTTAATTTTAAAATAATTTATTGCTAAAAAATGCTAATGATCATCTGAGCCATCAGCAAGTCATAATCTTTTTGCTGGTGAAGAGTCTTACTTCAAGCTGGGTGGCTGCTGATTGATTGAGGTATTGGTTGTTGAGGGTTGGGGTAGCTGTGACAATTTCTTAAAATACGACAACAATGAAGTTTGCCTCATTGACTGATTTCCTTTCATGAGATATTTCTCTGTAGCAAGTGATGCTGTTTAATAGCATTTTATCCCATCTCAGTGCTTGCAAAATTGGAGTCAGTTCTTGCAAACTCTGCTGATGGTTTGTCTACTAAGTTTATATAATATCCTATATCCTTTGCTTGCATTTCAACAATGTTCACATCTTCACCAGGAGCAGATTCCATCTCAAGAAACCACTTTCTTTGGTCATCCGTATGAAGCAACACTTCATCCATTCAAATTTTATCATGAGATTGTAGCAATTCAATCACATCTTCAGGCTCCACTTCTAATTCTAGTTCTCTTGCTATTTCCACCATATCTACAGTTATATCCTCCACCAAAGTCTTGAACCCCAAACAGTCATCCATGAGGGTTGAATCAGCTTCTTTCAAACTTCTGTTAATGGTGATATTTTTACCTTCTCCCATGAATCATGAATGTTTTTAATGGCATCTAGATGGTGAATTCTTTCCAGAAGGTTTTTAATTTGCTTTGCCCAGATCCAATAAAGGAATCATTCTCTATTTCAGCTATAGTATTACAAAGTGTATTTCTTTAAAAATAAGACTTGAAATTTGAAATTACTCTTTGATCCACAGGCTACAGAATAGATGCATATTAGCAGGCATGAAAATATAAATTTCCTTATACATCTCCATCAATGCTCTTGGAGGCTGACCAGGTGCACTGTCAATAAACAGTAATATTTTAAAAGGAATCTTTTTTTTTTTCTGGGTAGTAGTTCTAAACAGTGGGTTTAAAATATTCAGTAAACCATGCTGTAAACAGATGTGCTGTCATCCAGGCTTTGTTATTCCATTTCTAGAGCATCAGGCAAAGTACAGTTAGCATAATCCTCAAAGGCCCTAGGATTTTCAGAATAGCAAATGACCATTGGCTTCAACTTAAAGTCACCAGCTGCATTAGCCCCTAATAAGTGAGACAGCCTCTCCTTTGGAGTGTTGAAGCCAGTTATTGACTTCTCTCTAATTATTAAAGTCCTGTAAGACATCTTTCAATAGAAGGCTGTTTCATTTCCACTGAAAGCTATTTATATAGTCACCTTCATTAATTGTCTTAGTTAAATCAACTGGTTAACGTGCTGCAACTGCTACATCAAGATTTGCTGTTTCATCTTGAACTTTTACATATGGAGACACCTTCTTTGTCTGTCTTATGAACCAATATCTTGCCAGTTTCAAACTTTTCATCTGTAGCTTCCTCACCTTTCTCCACCTTCAAATAATTGAAGGGAGTTAGGGACTTGCTCTGGATTAAGTTTTAGCTTAAAGGAATGTTGTAGCTGGTTTGATCCACTATCCAGACCACTGAAACTTTCTTCATATCGTCAATGAGACCATGTTACTTCCTTATCATTCATGTATTCACTGGAATGACACTTTTAATTTCCTTCAAGAACTCTTACTTTGCATTCACAGCTTGGCTAACTGTTTAGTGCAAGAGATCTAGCTTTTGGCCTATCTTGGCTTTTGACATGCCTTCCTCACTAAGCTTAACCATTTCTAGTTCTTTATTTAAAGACAGAGACATGAGGCTCCTCCTTTCAGTTGAACACTTAGAGGCCACTGCGGGGTTATGAATTGAACAGATTTCAATATTATTTTCTCTCAAGAAACAGGGAGGCCCAGGATAGGAAGAGAGATACGGAAACAGCCAGCCGGTGAAGCAGTCAGACACACACAATATTTATTTATTAAATTTGCATTCTTAAGGCATGGTTCATGGCATCTTGGCATCTCAAAAACAATTATAAGAGAAACACCAAAGATCACTGATCACAGCAAGAGGGGTAGTAACTATTACAAAAATTTTAAAATATTGCAAGAATTACCAAAATGTGACACAGAGTCCAAGTTAACACATACTATTAAAAAATGATGCCAATAGACTTGCTAGATGCAAGGTTGCCATAAACCTTCAATTTGTAAAAAACACAATATCTGGGAAGCACAATAAAGTGAAACACAATAAAACAAGGTATGTCTGTACGTGCAACACACATTTCTAGACCACAGGGGGCCCAGGATAATAAGCATTAAGTCTTGCATTTGAGTTTACAGTTAGAAAATGAATCTTATTTATAAACAGTTGTCATAGCGGTTTAAAAGTTTCAAGCTGAACAAGAATGCTGGTGGAAACTAATTTATAGGTGTGATTATTGAAAAGAAAAGAACATTGCAAATAGATCAATCAGGACCAGGAAAGCCCATATCTTGAACAGATATTTTTTTGAGTAAATATGATGTGACCTCACTGTGCTAGGTGCCAAAAATTTATTGTAAATTTGAGTAAAACCAAAAAACAAAACCACAAGAAAAATCTCATATTCTAGGAACTCACATCCCAAAGATGTAAAATAAAATTATGTAAATAAAGAAATGCAAAACAGTGAGCTTGCAAAAGTAATTGTTTTGCAATTCTTTATTTACATGTGCTGTTGCCTTGAACTGAGATAACATTTTAAAAATGCTGTTACTTTCGTGGGCACTAGTTACACTTGCCAGCAAAAGTAAAGGCACTTTAGATGCAGAGATGTTTGAAGGATGGATGTTACATCTCATTAAAGGCAATAGTACATCCAATCCAACAGGTATGCAAATTGTGATATGTGGGGAACAGGTAATAATCCTATGTTTGGCGTGTATAAAGTATGAGAGAGGTGACAAAGGTTAGGCTGAAAAGGTAGATTGAGACAAGGATGCAAAGATCTCATAGGCCAGTTGGAGAAGTTTGAGCTTAATTTATCAGCAAAATAGAGTCGTAGACCCCTTATAAGCAGGAGATTGTCATGTTCAGATTTTTAGGAAGATCCTTTAGCTATGTGAGGGAAGAAAATTGGAGTGGGAGACTCAAGCTCAAAAGCCAAGTTAGGAGTCTTGCTTAGTCCACGAAAGAGAGAACAACACGCACACACACACACACTCACACACTCACACTCTTAATTGACTTGGTATATTTACTCTTTGAATTGAGAGGAATTCATAAAAATTGTCATTCAGGCCCTTTCAAGGTAGATCACTTGTTCTAAATGAAGTGCTGGACAAAGAACAATCTTGACTTCCTGTGAATTTTATTACTGCTTTATCATAACAAGAGATGAACAAAATAGGTCTTGGTAGTTACTGGCTGACATAGTTTGAAAGCTAAAATCCCATGGTAGTGATTAAACTAGTTTTTTTCACCTAATGGATAAAAATTGAAAAAGATGTTTCATAAACACTGGTGATTCTTTTGTAGTGAGTGTTTTCTGGCCAACCAAAGTAATTTTTCAACAAATGTGAGTTTGGAAAGAAACTGGACTGGAAATGCAACACTGATTCCTGGCTCAATTTTAAGTTTTGAGAGTACCACACTGTGGCCGATCACCACCATCAACTGTATCACAGTAGCATTTATCTTTTCTAAGGGAAAGCCATTTCGAAAACCCATCTATACAAACTGTAAGTATAAAAGTTTGATTTTTCTTTCTGAATATCTTCCCATTCCTTTTCTCACCCTAGAGTTGCCCCTCACTGGTGAAATGATGGGCTGAGAAAGAAACAATTGCACGACTCTGAAATTGTTGAATGCAGTTGTCATAGTTGTTGGAGCCCATGGGAGAAAACTGCTCATTTGCAGATAAGCACAGACATTATTTAACTGTCACATGAGTCTTGTCCTGTTGTGAGTCATCAAGAATCATTTTATACACATACATGTATGTGAAGATATTTTATAAAAGGCTGTCTAACCAATTCAAATGCAAATTGACTTCCTTAGCCGTATAACATTTGGCAAGTTACTCTAACCATTCTATAACCTTATTTCCTCATCTGCAGAATGGGAGGGAGTATCCTTAATTTGTTAAATCCTGAGAGAAGAACAAAGCATTTTATGGAATGGGCCCAGCACAATTTATGTAAAGGGTCTGGCACTTATAAAAGGGACTCAAAAATTCTTATTCACTTCTCCAGTATATTAATTTAAGTAGTGTTTAAAAACACACACATACACACACACAACTCTTCAAAGCTGCAATTAAGATCCTCAGGCTAAGGCTGGGAGTGGTGGATCACTCCTGTAATCCCAGAACTTTGGGAGGCTGAGGTGGGAGGATCACTTGAGCTCAAGAGTTTGAGACCCTATCTCTTAAAAAAACTTTTACAAATTAGCTGGGGATGGTGGCTCTTACCTGTAGTCCCAGCTACTTGGGGAGGTTGAGGTGAGAGGATTGCTTGAGCCTGGGAGGTTGAAGCTGCAGTGAGCCAGGATCACACCACTACACTCCAGCCTGGGCGACAGAGCAAGACCCTGCCTCAAAAAAAAAACAAAAAAAAAAAAAAAAAAAAATAAAACAAAAAAAAAAAAAAAAAAAAAAAAAAAAAAAAAAATCCTCAAGCCAAAGAAGCCAGAGAATATGCCCCATCATTACTGACCAGACTGGGACACTCATTAGGAGTGAAGTGAAATACTACCAATAATTATGCCAGGCTTAAACAGAGAATGTCAAGGCAAACTAGATACATGATACCTATCCAGATATTGCATGACAAAGATGGTCACCCTGTGTATCATACAATTGGCTTCAGTATTATAAATAATGCTATAAAACTATACTTGTGTAAATGACTTAGCCTCCTATTTCGTTAGGGTAACAAAATTCACTTAACTGGTGGAATAATGTGAAAATGTCAAAGCCTTGAAGACACAATTTAAAGTTGCCTTCTAGAAAATTTGTCCTGATTTTTACTCCTATCAGTTGTTTTTGAGAGGGTATGCTTCTTAATAGTATATCCAACATGAAGTGCTAGTTAAAAAAAAAACAAAATCTGTGCTGATCTGATAAGGTTTTTAGAAATTAGTGTCTCATTTGGTTTTAGTTTGCATTTCTTTGATCACCAGTGAGGAGGAACATATTTCCATGCTGTTAGCAATTTCTTCTTCTGTGAATTGCGTGTTTACATTTTTAAACTTATTTTTTTCTGTTGGATTGCTGTTATGTTTCTCATTTATTTGTATAAGCTATTTATTTTTCATGATTTTTTGCATTGTCTTGATGCACAGAAAATTTTTTCTAATTATAAAAGAGGATAGATTATCATGTTTAGTTTTAAAGTTTCTTTTGATGCTTTTAAAATCTAATGTTAATTTTGGTGTAAAGTTTGAGGTAGGGATTAAAACAAGTTTCTCCAACTAGCCAACCAGTTTTTCCAGAAGCTTTTGTTGACTATTGAGTTTTTAATATTCATTTAATTACTTTTCCACTGAATATACCACCTTTATCATAACTATCTTCATATATATTTGAGCTTTTATGTACACAATTTATATTATGTATTGTTTGTATGTATATGTATATATAGTTTTCAGACTATCTTTTCTGTTTTTAACATGTCAGTCTATTTTTGATTTACCACTATACTTTAAAACTTACAGTTTTATAATAAGTTTTATTTAACAAGTGTAACACAAGTAAGATCAGTGTGTCCTCATTATTCATTTTTAAAAATGTGTTTCTTTCTTTCTCGTTCATTCTTCAAGATAAACTCTAGAATAAATTGCCAGACTTTTTACAAAGTTCCCTTTGGGATTTTGATACTTTGGGAAGAATTTACATGTGTATATAATTTAATCTTCCCATTTAGGAATGTGTCATGTCTCCCCATTTATTCTTGCTTTTTTTTAATGCCTCTTAGTAAATATTTGTTGTTTTCTCCATTACAAATCCTGCCTGCACATTTATTTAAAAAACTAATCCTTTGTATTTTATATTTTTCCTTACATTGTGAATGACTTTCCCATTATATTTTCTGTTTATCACTAATACACAGGAAATGTATAGTGTTATACATTAATATTTTTAAAATTATAAATGTATTTTACAAGCAGGATATATTTGTTGGCTAGTACTTTAATTTTAATAGTAACTGCAAAGTCCTTTTACATGAATTGAGTGAATTAGAGGTAGATTAGTTACCTCATAGTGACTTAAAGCTTCTGGGTAAACTCAAACCCCTATACCAAACATAACTTGATAATTTTAAATGTAAAATATTTCACATTTTAGCATACAGATATGCTAACAAATGTAATATGATAACAAACATATACTCTCAGGTTATAAGTCAAAAGCCTTTGGAACTACTATTAAAATATATGAGCAACTTTATTTAGATATAACAGAAAAATCTTTGCTGTTTTTAACAGCCTTTGACAGAAGCTCAACTTTATAATGACAAGATATGGAAAAAGTAGAGGCTTAACTTTTCTGGAAACAAGTGTGAACATTTACTAACCTTATCTGAAAATAAGGTATAATGGCTTACACAGGACTTGCTTTCCTAAAGCACCTGCATTAACAGAGCCCTAGACTTTCACGTTTTCTCAGCAGCAGCGGCTAACCAAGAGCCAACATTCAACTCTTTATTACATCTTTTCAATAGAAGCTGAAATTAAAAAGATGGCCTTATAATTTTGTCTCTACATTGCTCACTTGTGCACAGGAGAGGCCTGCATTTTAGACCATTAGACACTAATGTGCACACCACGCAGCCCTAGTTGCTAGTGAAGTCCAGGCCTTCATCAGAACAGACCTTTCAGGGATCCTCTTCTTCCCAGCTTCTGGGTCCCTGGGACTCCAAATCCATGAAGTAAATGAAAAATCCACATAGCCATTTCCTGGGATTTTATCACCAGGCCATTTAGATTGCCTTATTTGGAGAGATGTAATTCCCACTTTTCTTCTCTCTGCCTCATACCCTTCCCAAGCACTTCTGAGAGGTGCTGCATTTATTTATATACATAAAGTGGGGCATGAATAAATTGAGGGTGGGCGTGGGTGCTCAAGGATGAAAACAGAACTCTGTTCACTTCAAAAATAGGGTCTGCTGTCAAGGGGCAGTTGCCTGAGATTTCTGGTTGGTATAGGCCTATAGAGAGTTGGGAGTGGGGAGGGTAGACCACCAACACTGAATAAACAAGGTAGAGAGAGTGTAAGAGAAAACCTAGTTTGTTCATGTATTTATAGCTTTATAGGATTATCAGAATCATTTGTATCATGGCGACACTGATTAAATGCTATTGTTTGGGCCTGAAGGTGATAATTCTATTTAAAAATATCATTTCTAAGGTACCATCTCTAAAGTTCTCTGCTAAATGCTCTGACAGAGGAGTGGGTGAGGTTGAGAATAAGACCAGCGATATTGGCACAGTGCATTCTGGGAAGTTTAGTTCCCAAAATTAAAACAGTTTGGGCAGGTTGGAAAGAAGGAATGCAACAACAGATGTACATGCTAATTTCTCATTTACTTTTTCAAAACCGAATTCCTGAGAACCAGAGACAAAGCCACTTTCAAATGGTCACAGTTCAGTTGATACATGACTTATGATCATACAAAGCAAAGTATGATAAATGCTATAGTAAATAAGGTTTTGTAAGGGAGTATTAGTCTTTGAAAAGGAAGTGGTATTTGAACTGGGTTATTTAAGAAAAATTGGAGCATGCCAAGACAGAAAGAGTATTATGTATACTGGGCATTTTTTTAAAAAAAAGACACAGAAGCTGGAAAGTGTTGGGCCTCCATGGAAGCTGGAGGTTTTATGGTCTACCTTTCCTATTGCTTCTAAGGAGAAGTGGTCAGAGATCAGGTTAGAAACGCTGATTGGGACCAGATTGTGGAAGGCCTTGAATGTCATACAGGACCCGTGAACTTTAGGCAACGAGGAAGAATTAGATGGTGCCAAAAGGACTGACTGTTTGTCCCATGCAGGCACAACTCACTAGACATGCAGTGATAGTACACCAGGGAAGCTCCTTTGTGGAGGTTACTGTGAAACATTTGATTAACAGTCTTCTACATCCAGACTTTCAAGGGAAGATTCTAAGATATTACCTTCATTTTATAAGCATTAGAGCATGTTTCAAAACATACGAGGATATATCAAAACATCTAAAGATATATCTGGTATTTGCCCAACAAAGATAATTGATTCTGCAACGTGTGCCAAATTATATGAAACATTCTTTTAACATCTAAAAATAATGTTTGGTATTTCCTCAGATATATTTTCATTTCTGCTGCTAGCTGCCTTGGGCCTCACAATTTTCATTCTGTTTTCTGACTTTCAAGTTATATACCATGGAATGGAGGTAAGTGGCATTCATTTGCACATCTGGCATGACTCATGTACATGGACCATGTAGTCATTGTAATTCACAAGTCAATTATTACCATATTCTCTTTAACCACCAAATACTGTGACGCTATTTCTATATACTAGAAGGGCAAATAACATATATGTATTTCACATATACTGTCTTCTAATGTTTTTCATATTATTAGTATTATTGGGTACATTTATCCTGTACATACCTGAAATAGTATAAATACTTTATCATGCCATGTTATACTAATACAATAAAATTAATGCAATAATACAATAATTCTCCAAGTTCAATTTTCAAAAAGATAAACCATATGGTAGAATTCCTTTATAATGTAGTTACAAAGGGAAAGAAAAAGTAGACCTATAAAGACAGTTATGTTTTGTCAGACATTGACTATATGAAGTTTTATATCAGTGGATAACATTTGATCCAGGATGCCCTGGGTTAAAAGCTAATTCATTAAGAGGTTATTGAACTAATTCTTGAACCCAGTATTGTGAGAGAAATAAAAGAAAGAGAAGAGTTGGCTCCTGACCTCCAAGTCACAGATTTGTTGTGAAGATGAGACATACTTGAGTGCTATCTGAGGCTATCCATACTTGAAGAAGATAGGCTAGATTTTGCTAGGTAGGAGGTAGGGATATTCCCAGCAAGGACAGCCTAAGAAGCAGAGACTACTGAAAGAGCTTCTTTTCTCTTAGAAATGCAAATGAATGTAGGGTGGCAGAGATAGAAATCAAAAGCAAGGCTTCCCCAAGCCCTAGAAGACTGGCTAAAACTGAGGCCGTGGGCTGCGGAGTATGAACAAAAATGAATAATAAAGGAAGGCATGGCTGGATGAAGTCAGCTAAAGAAGTTTAGACTTTATGCCAAGTGCAACAGGGAGTGAATGAAGCTAACTGAGCAGGCTTCTCAGCAGGGCACTGAGAAGACAGATTAATTAGATGATGGCAGGAAGACTACATGTGAGAGATGAGAGGAGCAATTAGGAAATGAAAACCCAAGTCATTTATTCCTCAAACATGAAGCTCAAGAGTTTGATAGCAGAGTTACAAAGATAAATAAGGTGCGGTCAGTGCTCTCAGGTAGTTTAGAAGTTAGGAGAGAAGACCATTGCATACATAAATAATTCCAGGATCAGGCACGGTGGCTCATGCCTGTGATCCCGGCACTCTAGGAGGCCAAGGTGGGTGGATCACTTGAGGTCAGGAGTTGGAGACCAGCCCGACCAACATGGTGAAACCCTGTCTCTACTAAAAATATAAAAATTAGCTAGGCATGGTGGTGGGTGCCTGTAATCCAAGCTACTTGGAGGCTAAGGCAGGAGAATGGTTTCAACCTGGGAGGCGGAGGTTGCCATGAGCTGAGATCATGCCACTGCACTCCAGCCTGGGAGACAGAGCGAGATTCCATCTCAAAATTAAATAAATAAACAAATAATTCAAAATCTAGGCCCTTCCAGGTCAAGGGATGAAGAACAGTTCTCCTGGATCAGAGTGGTGGCAGCTGTGAGAAAAAGAGCCAGGTTCTCTGCTAGAATATGACCCAGCTTTTCCAAACAACCCTTTAATCCAAACAACCCTTTACAGTTTGTGGTATTCACAACTTGATAAAAATTCTCTCCACTTGGGGAAAAAAAATGACAAAGTATGATTTTGAAATGACCCATATCAGGATAGGGGTGAGAATTAAGGGTGAGCATTTAGATACTGTGGAGGTTCTGTGGTTTTTGTTTTCAAGGGAGTTCAGTCCCACACATACTCAGCCATAAATATTCTACTCTTGGATGGGGTCTCAGAAAAAAAAGGCTATGTAACTAGCTTTTTGCTATGGATGCAGCCATGGGAAGTTGTGGCTCTCACACTTCAAGTAAGTCTATTTAATGATCAATGTGTACCCTTAAATTTTAAAAACTGGTGGGCTTGGACGGTTCATTCAACTTTCATTTAGCCATCAGATATAGGGCCAGAAACAACCTGCATCTAGTCTCAATCAAAACATACTTACATTTCTCTGTCCTCCGTAAAGAGTAAAATCCAGGTAGGATTTGCTTTGGGAGAATTAGAATTACTAATATTATCTGATGAATGATTTAATCTTAGCCTTCTTCTCTCTGTCTGAAAAGATGAAAATGAAGAGAGACACACAGCCTCCAAAATGTCCTGTCTCATATTTGTGACTCAGGGCACATTTCCTAATAGACACTGTTAGGTTGTCAAGGGTAGTCCATTCTTTTTTGAATTCTGGCCCTGCCATTTTCTTATCCGCTTTGGGTCCTTCAGTTGTATTATCTGTAAAGGGACAAAGTAATGCCCACATCTAAGCTCAGAGAATTATTATGACAATATAAATTAAATAATATGGTCTTTTTACAAAGTGTAAAGTATGTAAAATATAATAATGGTATTTTTTTTTCAACAGTTCATCCCAACCATAACATCATGGAGGGTTTTAATTTTGATGGTAGCCTTCACCCAATTCTGTGTGGCTTTCTTTGTCGAGGTAAAGTGATCTCTACATTTTTTCTAGGAAGACAAACAAATTAAGAATGCCATTTTCAATAGGTGCTTATTTTCTATAGCAACCACTTTGATCCCTCAAAATGACGGTTATTAAGGGTTTATAAAAATGGTACATATTCTTCGTGAGGAAAATTTTTTGGAGAATGATTTAGAATTATTTGAAATCTGCATAGAAATTCTCTTGATATTTTCTGCATAGAAAGCAAAACATGAATTAACTCTAATTTTGCTTCCGTGAATGCACTGCATTGCACTTTTCTAATATTCTCAACAATCTAGTAAAGACTATACCAGGTGACCTTCCAACCCTAAAACTCAATGAGAATTTTTAGAGTGAAGAACTACCTTCTGGAGGGTTTCCCTAAGAAAGAGGAGAAGCCATCGCTCATTCTAGTCAATTCCTATTCTTGAAGGTCTTTCCTTTACAGTATTTCTTTTCTACTCAGTGTCACTAAATGACTTTATCCATTTAGTAAGAGGCTCAAGTGCTATCTTTGTAAAGGAGAGTTCTTTTTTTAACTCATGCTTTAAGACTTTTTGGAAAAAGGATCAACCAAATTTTAAGTACATATATATCTCATTGTATACAATATGTGTAAAATGTCTCATACTCTTTAACTCAGGGATTCCATTTTTGAAACTATATGTTTTAATAACCCAAAAGAAGAGAAAAATACTACAAGTATGAAGGCACTTATCATAATAGTATCTACAGTGGCAAAATATTACACTCAAGTGATGTTGGGATGCTCTTTGTTTAAACAGCTATACAGCAATTTGAGGAAATGCTAAACAGTCACTAAAATGATTATTAATCATATTGTACCTATGTTCTTATAATAAAATAACATTTTTAAAAAGCTACAGCTACATGAAAATTGTTTATGACAGAAAGTTTAGTATAAATAAAAGTGGTATGCAAAATTTGACCAATTTCATTACTATAAATTGATAAAAATTGTGTAGACATGTGAACAAAAGAAAGTTCTCAAAAATGAAAACCAATAACCATTTGATTTCTAGAGCTCAACCATGTATTCAATAAACATTTATTTGGCACCTTCTACATGGCAGGCAGCAGGTAGCAGGGCTAATGGTTAACTTTTCTTTTCTTTATTTTGAGCACATTATTATTATTGCCATTTCCGTCTGAGGGTAAAATCAGTCTAAGAAAATCACTAGCCAGGACTTAACCAGGAAATGTGTGGAACGGAAATACTGGAAGCTTTTGGCAGATTTCTATGAACACAAGCACCCTCTTGCTTCTTAAGGGAAGAATTCCGGGACTTGGGAAAGGAGAGGTAGACGCAGCAGCAATGGGTGCACCTCAGAGGAAGGTCTGGGGAAAGGACGCAGGCTGCAGTGGCCAGCGGCCTGGCTACAGGGGGACCTGCACAATGAATTGATTGTTTTTCCCACCTGATTTTTCAGGATGCCATCCTTCAAAATCGTGAGCTCTGGCTGTTGATCAAAAAAAAATTTGGATTTTACTCTAAAAGTCAATATAGGACCTGGCAAAAAAAGCTGGCAGAAGATTCAACCTGGCCTCCCACCAACAGGACAGATTATTCAGGTGATGGCAAAAATGGATTCTACATCAACAGAGGCTATGAAAGCCATGAAAAGATTCCAGAAAGAAAACTCAAATTGGGAGGCCAACCCACAGAACGGCATTTTTGGACCAGGCTGTAATCAGAAATGTTGTTATACATGCCCAACAGCATTGCCTTCTTTCCCCAAAATTAACGCATTGTGGAGAAGTGATGATAGTCTCCCCTTATCTTTCCTCTCTCCATTCAAGGACTCAAAACATATTTTCAGTGCATTAAACCTTGCAGCAAAGGACCATAGATAGGCTTATTCTGACTGTATCCTTTATCAGTGAGAGAAATTCATTTCCAGCAATATCATTTCCAATAAACTGTATTCATTTTGCATAGCATTATTTTATTTAAAATGAACAGCTTTCATGGTACTGTAGTCAAATTAGTAGTATGAACATCAATGGAAAGAAGAAAAATTGAGACAACATTTGGCCTTTGAAAGTTTTACTAATACATTGTCAGTTTACTTAAACCTTTATTTGTGAAGAACATTTACATATATATCTTTTTTTCCCAAGGTTACAGTTCCTCTTTTTGTTTTTCTTGTATGCTTCTCATAGAGAAACAAGAACTAACATTTACTTCAGAAATTCAATCCTTTCGGAAATTCAGCCCTAACTATAGTAAGCCAGAATTGTGTGGAAGTGGTAGAATGAAGGAGGTGTTTGTTAATTCCATATAATCTTGGCATGGGCACCGTTAATATATAAGCAAACTCCACCAAAGTTTGGCATCTCTCAAGGTGTAGCATTTTGGGGCCAGTGAACAGGAAAGTTTAGAGTAGATCACAAAGGTAATGAAATAAACTGTAAAAACATACTTTTACTTAAAGAAGCATGGCAACATTGTTTACTGTTACTGACACATGAAAACCTCAAGCTTTCTTTTTCTTTCTTTTTTTTTTTTTTTTTTTTTTGGTGGGGTTTCTCTCTGTCGCCCAGACTGGAGTGCAGTGGCGCAATCTTGGCTCACTGCACCCTCCACTTCCCGGGTTCAAGAGATTCTCCTGCCTCAGCCTCCCAAGTAGCTGGGATTACAGGCAACTGCCACCATGCCTGGCTAATTTTTGTAGTTTTTGTACAGATGGGGTTTCACAATGTTTGCCAGGCTGGCTTCAAACTCCTGACCTCAAGTGATCTGCCCACCTCGGCCTCCCAAAGTGCTGGGATTATAGCTGCTGCACCCGGCTTCAAGCTCTAACTTTAAAAGTTGTCCAGAACTCAACATTACTCATCTTAATAACAATGTTAGAAAAGGGACTCATAATATTGGTAATCGCAGTATGACAATTCCCAGGCTACTAAATAACCTTATGTTCTAGTTCATCTCGTAATGATCTAAGTCATCTTATTAGATGCACATTAAATACCACATGAAATGGTGCATCCTTTACAAATATATTCTGTAGACTATTATCTTTAATATAAATATCACCCTCACCATAAAATTGAGAGAAAAATTATTTCTAGTGAACATTTTAAATTACCTATTAGGATTTCCTTATAACAATAAATCTAATTTTGCTATTTAACAGATCCAGATCATAGGCAATTCGTTAACCAGTCCCATTATATGAGTGCCAATTAAGTGCCTAATACCAGGATGTACAGATTCAATATATGATAGCCTTGAGCTTACAATTCTGAAATCTTTAGGAATGATGTCTTCAACATGAAATTTGCTACCGTAAATCATTAAAAATGTTACACAAACCAGCAGCATAAATGCAAATTCTTATTAAAACAATCCCTCTGTGTTTACATTTTGTTTGCTTTTTAACCTTTTCTTGTGATCACAGCTCTCTGGAGAGTAATAATTTCTAAAATGTGTATAATTTAGTGGCTACCAGTAACAAGACAAACATTTTAAAAAGAAGAGGTTTTTAGCTTATGATTATAAACTATACATCAACCTAAAAAAGATGGTAGTCCAAATTCCTTGAACTGACATCTGCATTTAGTAGTGACTTTTAGAACGAAAAGATTTAATTGATACACTATATAATATTTACATAGCATAAAAAGATTTTTAAAAAAATAGATTCAATAATGGTATAGGCTTTTTCCCCCAGGTTTTCCTACAACCTGTAAGGTTTCTGGTGGATGATGATCTTTATTTCATAATTTTTATTCTTGGAATGTGATAAAGTTGAACTCCATTCCTGACTGCTAAAAATATGCTCAGAGAAAGGTTTAATAGCCTTGAGAAAAATCATTTCATAAAAGCACAATGAGGCGGGGCGTGGTGGCTGACTCCTGTAATCCCAGTACTTTGGGAGGCCGTGGTGGGCAGATCACGAGGTCAGGAGTTCAAGACCAGCCTGGCCAACATATTGAAACCCCATCTCTACTAAAAATAAAAATAAAAAATTAGCTGGGCATGGTGGTGGGTGCCTGTAATCCCAGCTATTGAAGAGGCCAAGGCAAGGAGAATCACTTGAACCTGGGAAGTGGAGGTTGCAGTGAGCCGAGATCGGGCCACTGTACACCAGCCCTAGAGATAGTGTGAGACTCTGTCTTAGAAAAGCACGATGAGCATGATATCAAATAATCGCCTATAGAAAAAACAAGCTGGACAGTCTTAAGCTGGTCATCATCGAGAGTAATCATTTTTTATGGGAAACTGATGACAAACTTTGTGAGCTTACCTCTAAAGGGTGAAAACTACTGCACCCTCAAACACTACCAATGTGAACATGCCATGCATTTAATTTAAAAGTGCATTTGTGACATTATCTAGCACAGACAGTACTGTCTTCTGGAGTGGAGACATTCAGAGTTCTCTAGAAAGGCTGCACTTGAGGCTCTCAGGAGGTTCTTGATTTCAAATTTTGCTTCTTCTCCCACTGGTGGGTGTAGTAATTCTACCACACCTAATTCTCCTGCTTCGGGTTAAGATTTGCTCTACGTAGGCATCCTTTAGAAAACTAAGTGTACCTTGGGAAAGGTAACACATGCTACTGCCAATCTCATCTTAACTTGACAATACTAGAAAACCGTTTTGGTTGTTGTTAACTATTACTTGGGAAGAGGCATAAAAGGAACAGATACTTGAATTTAGAGTAAAAATGAAAGCGTAATTTTAGACATTAGTTCCTGATAGGAGACACTCACACCTCCCCAGAAGACCAGTGGAAGAAGAGAGTGTTTTGGGGTTACTGGAGACAGAGTTGGTGCCATAAGAAAGGGAAGGAATTCAAGAAAAAGAAGGGAAGAGATACAGGGTCTCTGGGGCTCTGAGTGCAGCAGACAACTCCTTCTATTATCATTATTATTAACCCTGGAATTAGCTTGCTGAGTATTTCTGGCCCTGGGGTAAAATCTAAATCAATTTACTAGGAACAAGACTTTCACTGAGTCTTCTGTTTAGTTACATTAGCTACCGTATTCCTAGTTTTCCCATTGCACCAACCCCCTAATATTAACTTGAACATTTATTTAATGGCAACCTTTTGATGATAGCATAAGATGGATGTCATTGGCTGTTGGTGTGGTTTATGGGGTCATGTTACAATGTCTGATGTAATCCTAGGTTATAGAGAACTGCACTCCACCTTCCCCCATCTGCTGCCACCAAGGATTTCACTGGAACAGCACTAAAATGCAGCTTCTTTAATTCAGCACATAAAAAAATGAGAGAATAAAATTATGACACTCCTTGACTTTTAGTAAAAGTCTTAAGAATATGGGATATTGTTTTCCAAATATGGCACTTTAAAAACAAAGTTAATGATCTCTTGTCAAGGTTAAAAGGTCAAATCCCTGAAATACTTCAAAATCCAAAGGGAATAATATGTAACACTGTAGAAATAACAGCCCACTCTTACTTGTCATGTCCTCCTGACAAGCAAGTAGATTCCACAGAAATCATGGCAACTGAAGCCCTGGAGCAGACAGCCTCTCCTCTTCCCATCCACCCACATCTACACAGGTACAGGAAGATGAGGGTACATCCCCAAAAGGCTTGTAAATTAGAGTCCCTAGAACTGCCTAACCAAAATGCTGAATTTCCCAGCTCCTTTTCCAACAAGAAAAGAAATATGAATTTAGATGTCAACCCTAACAATTTGAGGTTCTTAAAATTTCTTTCAAAACCATATATAAATAGGGTTTCATCCCTCTGGCAAAATGGCCACCCTCAGGGAAAAGGAAAATAATATTTTTGGTAGAAATAAAATGTGATGTGATTTTGTTAAGACATTCTGCTGGCTCACTCAAAAGGTTTCCTGTTCAAGCTGCCACAGCAAATCTATGCTAGCAGAGGAAAAGGAAATTTCACTGGTTCAATGATAAGATAATATCAGTAAGCAATTTATTAAAGAGCCTGCCATCCATTATAGGAATTTGGAACAATAATGATGCACTAAGTATTCATTCCAGGTTTTTTTTCCTCCTTCCAAATTCCTTCAATATCAATATTTCTCCAGTACATTGTTAATAGTATTTTGCTCTTTGTCGTTTTGGAAACAAGCCCAGGAATGAGAAGGCACCAACAGCAGCTGTCACAAACCCAACGGTACTTATTGCTCGGTTAGCCTATAAGGAAACAAGAAGCAAACAAAAAAACGCATCATATTCTAAAGACATCTCAGTGTCCTAAATGAAGCTTCAGCTTGTTTCCTAAACTGACGATCTGTTTCAATGTACAATGGATACGTTTAAAGTTCAATAAAAAATTAAAATTCTACATAAAGATGAAGAAATAAATTTATAATTTTTATGTCAGAGACATAGATATATACACGTGGGTATATATTTCTCATATTTTTGAAGCACTCAGAGTTTACAAATTCATTATGAACACAGTTCCTATTAATCATAATAGTATGCTGGTGAGAGTGGTTAATATACCATTCCTGTTTTGCAGAACTTGGGATATCATAAGTAGTTTGCCTGAGATCATACCACCAAGATGTTTAAAGATAGGGTGAGTCTTCTAAACCCCATGTTCTTCTCCTATGCAGCTCCTGTCCCTTAAATGAACACTTTGGGTTGGCTGGGTCTACACCAAGGTAAGTATCGTGCAAGAGTGTGTGTGTGTGTGTGTGTGTGTGTGTGTGTCTAAGGAATGTCTATTAGCAAAATAATTCAGGGATGTCATCTGTGCTAAATACCCATAAGCTCTTATTTGGTAGACACAATTTCTCTTCTGATAAGCAAACTTCAAAAAAAGCCAATACTGATGTTAACTATCATGTCAAAATTAATTTCTCATGTAGACAAACCACTCTCAAGATCAACTGTCCATAAAGGAATTCAGACATTTATAGCTTTAAGGGTATTAATCATGATGCTGATGAGAGAACTAATGAATATTCATGGTTTTCTTGGCACTCAAC